TCTAACTGGCCATATTACCAAAAGCGTTATACAAATTTAATGCATTTTCTATTAAAATCCCAGTGACATTCTTCATAAAAGTAGAAAAGGCAATCATGAAATTATTTGGAAAAATAAGAGACTCAGAATAGCTAGAGCAATCCTTAGCAAGAAAAGTGAAGCAGGAGGCATCACAATTCCAGACCTTACACTATACTACAGAGTTACAGTAACAAAAACCGCATGGTATTGGCACCAAAATAGACTTGTAGAACAATGGTACAGAATAGAGGACACAGAGACAACTCCACATAAATACAGTTATCTCATATTAGACAAAGGTGTCAGAAGCATTCCCTGGAGAGAAGATAGCCTATTAACAAATGGCGCTGGCAAAGGGGAAATCCTTATGTAGCAAAATGAAGTTAAACCTCTATCTCTCACTCTGCACAAAAGTCAACTCAAAGTGGACCAAAGACTTAGGAACTAGATTAGAGACCCTGAGTCTAATAGAAGAAAAAATAGGCCCAAATCTTCACCATGTTGGCCTAGGATCTGACTTCCTTAACAAGATTCCTAAAGTGCAAGAAGTAAAATAAAGAATCAATAAATGGGATGGATTCAAATTAAAAAGCTTTTTCTCAGCAAAGGAAACAATAACGTGAGGAGAGAGCCTGCAGACTGGGAGAAAATCTTCACCACATGCACCTCTGATAAAACATTAATCTCTAGGACATATAAAGACCTCAAAAACTTTAACACCCAGAAAACAAATAACCCAATCAATAAATGGGCTAAGGAATTGAACAGACACTTTACAGAAAAGATACACAATCAGTCAACAAACATATGAGAAAGTGTTCAACATCTCTAGCAATTAGAGAAATGCAAATCAAAACTACTCTAAGATTTCATCTCACTCCTGTTAGAATGGCAGTCATCAAGAATACAATAAATGTTGGTGAGGATGTGGTGAAAAAGGTACACTCCTAGTGCTCGCTTTGGCAGCACATATACTAAAATTGGAAAGATACAGAGAAGATTAGCAAGGCCCCTGCGCAAGGATGACACGCAAATTCGTGAAGCGTTCCATATTTTTTAATGTATGAAATATGATATGTCAAGAGCTTTGTAATGTTTTGAACAACCAATAAAAAAATAAAATTATTTAAAAAAAAAAAGGTACACTCCTATATTTCTGGTGGGACTGCAAATTGGTGCAACCACTATGGAAAGCAGTATGGAGATTCCTCAGAAAGCTGGGAATGGAACCACCACTTGACCCAGCTATCCCACTCCTTTATACCCAAAGGCCTTAAAATCAGTGACTAATAGTGATGCAGCCACATCAATGTTTATAGCACCTCAATTCACAATAGCTAGATATGGAACCAGCCTAGGTGTCCTTCAATAGATGAATAGATAAAGAAAATGTGGCATATATACTCAATGGAATATCACTCCGCTTTAAAGAAGAGTGAAATTATGGCATTTGCTAGTAAATGGTTGTAGGAGTTGGAGAATATGATGCTAAGAAGATTAAGCCAATCCCAAAAAACAAAGGCCAAACGTTTTCTCTACTATGCAGATGCTAATTCACAATAAGGGCGGGGACACTAGGGTAGAATAGCATTACCTTAGATCAGGTAGAAGGCAGTGATGGGAGGGATGGGAGGGGATGTGGGGATAGGAAAGACAGTAGAAGGAAGCAGACATTATCACTGTATGGATCTGTGTGACTGCATGACCACTGTGATTCTGCATCTGTACACTCAGAAAAATGAGAAATCATACCTCACCTATGTATGGTATATTAAAGTGCATAACTGCATTCTACTGTCATATATGACTAATTAAAACAAATACAAAATAATTTTAAAAAGTTACTCCCTGAGGACTTGCTCCTGTCTTTTCCACTGTGCCTCCTTTTGCCCCTCTGCTGCCAGCAGTCTTCCTAATGAGGTCACTGAGTTTTATTTAAGGCTTTATAGTCTTGATTCTATGATGAAGTCCATGCAGTGTTAAGAAGAGGGTTTCATGTACAGGTGGGTTTAGAGAATGTTGTATTTTATGTACTTCCCTTAGAGAGTTTCAGTTCTTGTTAACATTAATCTCAGAAAAGTTCCACAGTAGAGTCTGATTGTATTTCATGAGTGTTTCCTAATTTTATAGGTTTTAGGGGAAAAAAACAGCAATCTCATCATTAAATAAAATTTTTGGATTTTCAGTGGGACAAATGTTAGGGTTTCAGAACATTTTAATTCTGTCGGGGAACTTCTCTAAGTTGCCCACTTGTGCCCGCCTGCCTGAGCTGCCAGGCCAAGCTTGGTTGCTGCACCCGTGGCACTTGCCCTGCGGCAGCCGGCCCATGAAGGAGGCCCCAAAGGTGAGTGGGTCTCAGGGAGCACTGCCAGTCCCCAGGGGCATTCATGGACAGTCCCAGAGAGGGTGTCGGTGAGCAGGCTTGGCCTGGCCCCGCTGGGGATATTTGATCATTGAAGATTTTAATGTTGCATTGGGAGTTTTTGCTTTAGCTGGGCTAACTGATTTGTTGGATGATTTATTGCTGGAAACTGGGCCAATCAAAAATCATCTTTGGGAAGTGCTCTTGATCCACTTGCTGATAAAGTCCTTATCAGTGTCTTCCATGTTAGCTTGACCTATGAAGGTCTTATTCCAATTCCACTTACTAATGGGATAATTTCAAGAGATGTAGTAAATGCTGCTGTTTTTTATTTCACATATTGAACTTTTCCACCACCACAAACACTAAGTATTTCAATTCTTGCTGAACTATTGCTGTGTTAAAACTAACGCAAGGCAAACACAGCAGTTCCGTTAAACGTGGTGGCTTCTTTGGCAGCTACAGTTTTCAATCATGCTGATGGCATTGACCTTCAGGTGCTTTGGTAGATGCACCACAGCTCATCAGCTCACAGTTATTGTCGTTATGGCCAGAAAACATTGAGGTGACAAAGAGCCGATTAGAGTCATTCATCACTGTTAGCAAGGGAGCAGTGTACATCATCGGCAGCAATGCCAGCAAAAATCTATAGGAGTTTCCCCATTTTGGTGTTGAGCCTGTAAAAGGACTTGTCAGAACAAACCATGACATCAAAACTAAAGTAATGTACGTTGAAAATAAGCTTGATCATGGGCATATTCAGAATTTTCAATGTATTTTTAAATGTAAATAAAACTATAATTTAGGATTTAAAAAAAAGAGAGAGAGCTTGGAGTAAGAATGGGCAAGACAGGAGGCCCACCCCTGCAAGCTGATGTTGGAAGTGGCATCCCGTCACTTTTGCCATATTCTGTTGGTTTAGAAGCTCCCTACCAGGTCCAGCCACACTGGGGCATGAACACAGGAGGAGGGGTTGCTGGAGCTGTTTTAGAGGCCACCTACCTCGGTCTTATTTAGGTTTTTACATAGTTTCATAAAACCAGAACACAGAAAAGAGTAAGTCCACTGAGGCTGAACCACTTCTAGGTGTGGTTTGGGAAGATTTTATGGAAAGAAGCACTGAAGCTGGGCTGTGCAGGATGCCATTGGGCAGGGCTCCTGAGCGGGGGTGTGCGTCAGCCCCGAGGGGCCTGAGCACAAGTCCAGGTAGGGGAGAAACACGGGGACAGCGCTTTCTTGAGGGAGCTCTCAGAATAGGGGTGAAAGCAGAAGACCAGTGAGAGCCATGGGCCTTTCTTGGCCAATAGTCATGAGGGCCAGAGCAAGACTCAGCAAGAGGAGGCAGAGGTTCCAAGTCAGGTTCTCTGTAGTCTATGTTCAAGGCATGTCTAGAGATCTGCGGTTTTCCCTTAAATTGGTCAGTGTGCTAATCCAGGCAGGGGGAGGCAGCAGAAAATAGAAGGGGAACTGCAAATCTTTCACACAAGTAGAGACACTGGTGACATTCTGTTAGTTGTCTATAATTGCAATGTTTTCTCATCCAAGAAGTTTTAAAAAAAGTATAAGAAATACCTGAGAGAATTAAGATCATATGTTGATACAATAACTTATTCAGTAGGCAGAATTCATATGGAGTTTATGTGAATGTGCATATCTGCATTATTCCTAAGAGCCAAAGTGTGGAAACAACTCACATGCCCATCAAATGATGAACAGGTAAAAAATGTGCTCCATCCGTGCAGTAGAATAGTATTCAGCCATAAAAAGGAATGGATAAACTGATGCATGCAAGAGCAAGTGAACCTTGGAATCATTCTGCTAAGTAAGGAAGCTACCCAGTCACACAAGGTCACATAGTGTCAGAGTTCATTTATGTAAAATGTTCAGAGTAAGCAGGAGACAGCAGGCAGAGCAGTGGTAGTCACAAGTGAGTGGCGTGTGCAGAGTCTACATATGTGCTATGGGGTGTCTGTGTGGGGCAGTGGGGACAGTCTAGCCTTAGTGAGTGATATCTGACAGTTCTGAATAGACTCAGCCACTAGATTGTATACTTCATTAAAAAATACTACACTAAGATGTGGTATTCTTCAGTTTATCCTAAAATATCAGGTCAGTATTTTGCAGTATATGGAATGTGTGAGCTCTTACTTAGATGTTGTACACAGTGGGGGTCATCTACATGATTCCTCTCTCCCTGTCTTAGTTTGAACAGAAGTAGAATTAAAGGAGTCATGGACTAGTGGTCATAAATTATGAATTGTGCTGCTCAGACATCTTGAGTGGTCATGGGCAAGATGCTGTGGCCTTATGCAGTTGCCAGAAGTGAGGATCCCAGCGTCTGCCCTTAGCTGGGCGTACTGAAGCCAAGGGTTTCCGAGGACCTGTTTTCTGGAAGCTTCCATGCAGTATCTTGTGCCTGTAAGTGTTTAGTTTGTATTAAGGAGTGTGGACATAAATAGAAGAAGGCTTGTGAGAGGTGTGCTTTCAAAGCTAAAGCCCATAGATGTGAGGTTATGGCATTAATACTTGTGTGTCTTGTCTACTTGTGGAAATTTAAAACAATTGAAAACTTAGAATACTCCTAATTTGTGGCACACTGAATTGACTTCTTTTCTAGGCCTTCCAGTATTAAAGTATGTGCTGACACCAAGAATAAAGGCAACTTATGTTGCTTTTGATTCTATGAAGAACTACTTAGATGCGATTTATGATGTTACAGTGGTTTACCAAGGGAAAGACAATAAAGGAGAGCGAGAAGAGTCACCGTCCATGACGGGTAAGTCTAGGTTTTCATGTGCTAGAGATTCAGTGCTAATACAGCACATGTCAGTGGCCGGTGTCTATTAAGAGTATCACCATTCTTCAAAAATAGGCATTCCATTTACTTGGTGTCTTTTTCAAGATGCCATTAATTGGATCCAGTTGAAATTTCATCTGCCCTGCCAAGTTTGGTACTTCTTGGCTGCCGCATTATTCTTTTAGAAGTCCTTATCCCAGCCTCTTTCTACCTGAAGCTCATACATAGAAACGGACAGCTCTGTAAATCAAAGGTAGGGTAAGTGGTCCTGAGTGATATCAAGGGGAGCACTGATGGCCAGTGCTCATCTCTGAATGTGATTTTCATCGAATACTTATGAAACTTAGTATCACTGTCTGACAAGAAGAAATTATGACATTTCTGTTTCAAACATGCTGGGTTTTAAGGACTTAGACCTATTATCTGTGTCATTCATAAGAAGAAAAAGAGTTCTGAGTGAGCAGAATAGTTTGGGTAAATGTAAGCAGACACTCTTAACTTTAGAGAACTGAGAACGAGGAATAGGCAGACTAGGGAGTGTGGGCGCTGCTGTGACTGTCATCCTCTATTCAGACTTGGGTGCATGGGCTCAGAGAGCCTAGGAGATTTGTAGGGTGCGTGAGGGATCGAGGCCAGCTCCCACTTCCCACTGCTGTGCTCTTGCCCAGTGCACTTCTGCTTCAAAGAGCAGTTTGTAAGCAGTTCTTGGATTATGTAGATGAAATAGAACTGGGGGAAAATGAAGACAAAACACTGAACGAGTGGCATCTTCCCTGGCTTAGTGCTGGGCTCCTTGCCATCCAAGCTGCTTGCTCCTCCCCGGGTGTTTCTGATGACCGAAGTGCAACATGTTGCTAAGGCCTGACGCAGAAGTAAAGAGCACCCGCAGAGTCCAAGAGAGGGAAGGCTGCTTCAAGGAGAAGCTTGAAGTTCCCCTCAGACTGGGGAATGCTGAGAAGAAAGGCCAGCGTCCTGCTTCACACCTACCAGGGAAACATACTCTTAAATTTCAGAGGATGATTTCCTTGTTCCCTCAGGAACTTCAGTGTGTTGAGAGCTCTCCTTTCCACAGAGCCATCTGCAAGGGGGTCTCTGGGCTAGGAGTAGGGCTGGGGCTTGCAGTAAACACTCACCTCATCCCTGGGCAGCCCAGGCAGAAAAGAGCATCTCCTATATTAGCAAGCCTTCAAAGTAACAGTCACTTACGGGCTTGTAGCCATTTCATAGTAAGAGTCATCTGGTAAAATGTGGCAAGGATCAGGAAATCAAGGATAGCCAGTGGCCAAGATGAAAGGAAAGGCAGCTGCTCCTCCAGATGTGTCCGGGCTGCAGAGCAGTCAGTGACAAGAAGGTGTCTGCCTACAACCAGAAGTGAAGCTCTGAAGGGCTCTTTTCCGCCCAGCTCTTGACCAGGCTGGGAGGTCTAGGTGGTAGTGAACCAGATGGACTCCTCATCTTTAGGGGAAATGGCAGTAACCATGCATAACAGGTGCTGTGCTGGATGGGGGTTGGTAGTGGAGATGAGTCTGATGGTGAACAGTATCTTGGCATCCCTTCAGAGGGATGAGGTGGACTTTTAGTAAGGGTCCAACTTCCTATGCCTGGGATGCTTAGAGAATTACAAGTTGTTGTATGAAAACAACATATGGTGCTGTTTATTTAATAATGACTTGCATAATTATAGTAGACTTGGAAATTACCACATCACTGCCTCTGGAAACTTGAAACTTGAAACTACCAGTTTATAATCAATACTTTTTTTTGCCTTGTTTTACTTTTAATACCTTGTTTTATTTTCTTTCTTTTTTTTTTAAATAGAAATATATGTATATCCATGTTTATGGCAGTACAAATTAGAATAACAAAGTATGGAATACAATGAATGAATAAAAATGTGGTATATATATACAGTGGAATTTCATTCAGTCATAAAGATGAATGAAATCATGTCATTTGCAGTAACCTGAATAGTAAAATATTAAGTGAAATAAGCCAAACCCAGAAAGTCAAGGGTTTTATGTTTTCTCTCATATGTTGAAAGCTAGAAAGAAAGAAGGAAAAAAGTGTTCTCATGAAAAAGTAGGGACACCAGTGTAGCACTGGAAGAGGATCAGGTGTAGGTACTAGGGAATTAAAATTTTTTTTTTGAATTTATATATGACAGCGGAATGTATTACAGTTCACTTTTATATAACCATGAATTCTAAAATAGCAAAAAGTGAAATATTTTTGTTCTTTATTAGAATTTCTCTGCAAAGAATGTCCAACAATTCATATTCACATAGCTCGTATAGACAAGAAAGATGTCCCAGAAGAACAAGAGTATATGAGAAGATGGCTTCATGAGCGTTTTGAGATAAAAGATAAGTGAGTAACAACAATTCAAGAAACTTAAATTTTACTATAGTAAATAACTTGAAACCAATTTAAAGAGTTTTATTATCTCAAGAATACTTTTTATAAACTCAAGTTGTATCTTATTCCCTGCATATCTGTTCATATGTTGCTTTTACAAGTCGGTGTAAAAGAGCTGTCTACCTGTCAATGTTTCCTGAACCATGTGGTAAGATATAAAGTTTAAGGAAAAAGGAGAAGTTTTCCAGTGTAAGATGCTTGAGTCTGCCTCCCCAGGTCATATAAAGATGTGTTCCTTTTATACAAGGAGCAGCCGCCATCCTGGGGTGCAGAGGGCAGGGTCTCCCATGCTGGTGGGCATGGTACAGGTGTGTGTGTTGGAAGAGGAAGGGGCAGTTGACATTTTTATGGTGAATGTGTCTCTATGTTGTTAGTATGTTGGGGCCTAAGTAGTTTCTGGCCTTGACCATGTTTTTGTCCACGATAATAGCACAGAGTTGAACCTTGCTGAGGGTTACCTGTAAGTGAATTACAGGTATATCTGGATACCTCTCAGGTGAGGCACAGCCCAGGGCCACACTGAGCAGCACTAAAGAGAGAGCCATGCTGCAGCAGGCAACATCACTATCTCTGATTCCATAGGAGAAGTTTTAGGATTTTCTTTTCAAAGGTGAAAGGTGAGTCTTAAATTCAGATGTGATATTTATTGTTACAAGAAAGTATTTTTTTCAATTGAACACTTCAGGATATTTACTGCTTGTTTTGCTTTTATAAATCAAAATTTTATACTTTCTGAAGCATATCCTATTTTTTTTAAGATGTATTTTAAACATTTAGACTTTTTTGGGTTTTTTTTCCCATTGGGTCCATTTACTAAGTCCATATTAAAGAGTGTTGTTTGAGGATTTGGGATTGAGCTCAGTAGTAGAGTGCTTGACATGGGTGAGGTTCTGGGTTTAATTCCAACACCACACACACACACACACACACACACTAGTGTGTTTCTTCTCAGGAGACTTAGTTGTTCTTCTTTTCCTTGAATTATGGTGAAATATCTCATTAGCCCTTCTGGGTTAACCTAAGAAAAGTATTAAAAGTATGGCAGGTAGAAAATGAAACTTTGTTAAATTTCTATGTTTCATCAATGTAGTTATACATGATGGAATTTATTAAACTAGTGATTCAGGGCCATTTTGGTTATGGAAGAACTTTAATAAATAATATCTGTGTATTGATAGGTCTTCCTAACAATGTTTAATATCTCATTTATTTTATGGTATAGATACTTATATGTATTTAGGACGAGGCTAGACATTTTAAAACAGTGGTTATGTCTAGTGCAGTTTATAAGGCAATAGAAACATTTTTCCTTTCTGAATTTTTTTTATATTTATTTATTTATTAGTTATTGGAGGACACAACATCTTTGTTTGTATGTGGTGCTGGAGGATCGAACCCGGGCCGTTGGCATGCCAGGCGAGCGCGCTACCGCTTGAGCCACATCCCCTGCCCCTCCTTTCTGAATTTTTGTTTTGAGATTATCAAATCATGTTCTGCTATTGGAATTATACACATTTTAAGTTGGGAAAATGCTTGTTGTTTTCCTTCTTTTACCTGTGTTTATAGTTCCATGGGAACTAGGGCTTTGCTGGGCCTCTCCATGTGTAGCGTAAGCACTGCTGGTCTTTTTTGGCTATGTAGTATGATAGGGGCTGTGGGAGGAGGGAGAGAAGCTGCAACAAGCCACTCCCTGTGAGTCAGGTCGCTGCAAAACTGAAGATCAAGGTTCAAAGACATCCTTGAGAGATGTTTGAAGTCAGACATGATATACAGTTCATATGAATTATATAGAGTGTGAAAGGCTAGAAATCTCAATCTCCCCTGAATTTCCAAGACCTTCTAAAGTGTCTTAAACTTTCACTTGTATTGTTTTTCATTACGACCATAGGTTGCTCATAGAATTCTTTGATTCACCGGATCCAGAAAGAAGAAATAAATTTCCTGGGAAATGTGTTCATTCCAAACTAAGTCTCAAGAAGACTTTGCCATCACTGTTGATCCTCAGTGGACTGACTGCTGGCATGCTGACCACGGAGGCAGGAAGGAAACTGTATGTGAACACGTGGCTCTACGGGACCCTGCTGGGCTGCCTGTGGGTCACCATCAGAGCATGAGCAGGGGGCACCCCAGCCACAAATGTGCTGCCTTGCCTCTCGCCGTTGTGGCTGCCTAGTACATCAACTTGTTTCCTGAGTTTAGTAAGAAGTGTAAATAAAGCCTTGTTGATTGAACATTGGATAAGATAGAGTTTGTGACTAAAGCCGATAAGCAGATGATCTTGGGCAAACATAATGTGGTTTTTCAACGTTATTGCAGGAGCTGCTGGAAAGGTAAAAGCCAAGTGGAGCTATTCTTTACACCTCCCACGAGCTAACGTCAGCTTCCGAAGATTATTAGCATTGTATAATTTGATGTCGTTTTGTAATTTAGAGGGCTGTATTTTTTAACATTAATTTGCAGCATATTTCACTCTATTTGTTATTTTCAGGTTTTTTTTACAACCTGACAACTCCAAACTCATCACTGTTTAGTATCTTGAAGCTAGCAATATTGGGCTTTTTCTTACTTTGTGCAAGCCCATGAAAGAAATTGAATTTAAGTATGAATATGTTCAAGGAAAAGGGTAAGAAATATTCATGGGGAAAGAAATTCTGTTCAGTGTTTTGTTTTGTTTTTTTTTTGTATTGCGATATTAGCTGATTTTACTTTGTATTTGAAAAATAACATTTCTAATATTTATTGAAATCACTTAATTTGCATACCCTATACTCTGCACAAGAGAATAATGTATCAAATGTCAGAATGAACTTTAAGTTAAATTTGCAACTGATTCATTACAACAGAACTTGAATTTGCCCAGCTTTTGAAGATTTAAGCTACGCTATTAGTACTTCCCAACATCTGTGCCATAAGTGCTTGAAAACAAAATTGTTTCCTGTTATTTTTTATATCAGAGTAATTACTGTGAACCTTTGTCTGGATCTGGAGTCCCCAGGTCTTTGAGGTGGTCGGAGCCCACAAACATCACAACTCCATTGCTAGCATGTGCCTTTGGCCTCTTATCTCTCTGATCTAGCCAACTGTTTGACTCAGAAACCATCTTTCTGCTATCATGGTAGCTGCACTGGGCCCTTCCTTCCTCCCGGACCCCTTCCTTCAGTGGTGCTGCTCCTAGCTTGCACAGTAGACCAGCAGTGAAGAGCGGCCGGCGGGCCTGGCTTGGAGTGGAACTCACGGGGCACTCAGCAAGCTTCCCAGACTTCTGCAGAGGCGTCTTACACTTGTTCAGTGTCGAGAAATTCACCTTCCTCACATCATTCATCAGGACTGAGTAGATTTGGTTCTTTCCATTGGTTTAAATGGAGCTACAAAGTGAGAATAAGAGCTACGTTCCAGGAACCAAGTCACAGCATTCAGTCATGGAAGAAGACCTTTTTAAAGAGTGATCTGCTCTGTTTTTATGTTATAATTTAAATACAACTGCTTTCTGGTGTTTTAAGATAACAATTCTGCTTTCTGTTGGTCAGATTTTGTTGCAAAATCATTTTGTGACCCAGATGAAACACACCAATTGAATTATAAAAAGCAAAATGGAGGGGAAAAAAATTCGAGGGAAATTTTGTATGACTATCTTCCGTTACTTTTCCAAAACTAGAGAATAAGCCATTTCAAACAATACCTTTGAAGAGTAGTGTGGTGTGAATCAATCTCTGTCCATTAGTATGTGTATGTGTACAATGTTCATATGCCTATCTTCCTGCAGAATACAGTCAGCCTGACTATGAGTGGAGGCATAGGTCAGACTCATGAAAAGTGTCCTCATGCTGAATTGACGTTTTCTTTTACATGTAAAGTGAAATTTAGATCAATTCCATGTCTCTGTTAAATACTTTTTTTTTTAAAGTCCTAATTTTAGAGCTTGTTTCTGACAAATCAAAATGAATTTAAGTTGTAGAACTTGGAATATCATGGATATGCTTCTATTTAAATTTTAAGAGAAAATATCATTGGAATTATGTGGATTACAAATGATTTTAACAAGAAAGGTGACTTCATGAGGTCACTTTTGAATATGGTGTTTCTTAGGACTGTATTTAACTTTCTTATCACAAAAGGTCAATAAAACATGGGAGTTGGAGACATTTTTGTATCAAAACATTTGAGAAGTCAGAAACTTAACACATGTTGATGTTGACTTGAATTAACTGTTTTCTAAAATTAAAAGCTATATGCCTACCTGTAAATCGTTTCACATTATCATTTTAAGTTTTTGTTGTATTGTTGATTTACAGCTTACTTATTACTTGGTTTTTCTTTATAAGAATTTCATCATTGTGCATGCTTTTATGTTTTTCAGCAAAGGGTGTGTTTGGATGAAAGTAAAAAATAAAATAAAACCTTTCACTATCTCTAATGTCTTCACTGTTTAACATTTTGCGACCCAAATATCACCAACAGTTTTCTATTACATAAGAGTGACTTAGTGATTGGGCTTGCTTTCTGCATTTATAAAACTACAATATTTTTCTTAGGTACTGAGAAAAGTTTTTAAAAACTAAGTTGAAAAATTAAAAATTGCAAAGGAATATAATAGTTTGTTAAAAACTCATTTATTTTATTACTAAGATGTATGATCAATACTAATCAATACTTGGCAGTGCTGTAATCATTAGGTGATCTCAGCCAAACATGTCGAGTGCTTAAAATTAGCAGGGCTGGTGAGCAGGTGGGCCAGTCTGGCTAATTGTTTTATGTACTAATGGTTTATTTCACATGTTTCAATTCTGTGTTTTTTTTTAATTAATAATAGTACCAATTTTCCTTTATACATATAATACATGGTTCATACTTAAATTGACTATTAATGAAAGTAGAAATAGAAATTTGCCAAAGTAACTCCTACATGTATACCAGACCCACATTTGTGAAGACAGAAATTCTTAATATTTCATCTGTTCAATTGCAAGTCTATAGTAAAAATGAATGTTAACCTTACTAATACTTATTGTTAAAGTACTATGTATTTATTTCTAATGATACTGGGATTGAACCCAGGGTTGCTTTACCACTGAGCTACATCCCCCGCCCTTTTTACTTTTTATTTTGAGATAGGTTCTCACTAAGTTGCTTAGGACCTCAATAAATTGCTGAGGCTGGCTCAGGCTGCAGTCCTGTTCCTCAGCTTCCTGGGTCGCTGGGATTACTGGCATGTGCCAACACACCCGGCTTGTTTTTGACGTATTTAGATTCAAGATTTTCTTGGCAGATACTCCAGATACCAACTTGTACAAAGTTATATCTTTCTTCAGTGTTAGTTTCTCCCTTTCAGGCCAGTTTTTATTATGAGTAACGCATGCTTTTTAGATTTAAAACTGACCTACGTGAAATGTTACCATCTGGCGTAACTGGTATTATGTACGGATGTAACACCCGTGCATTAGGATGAAGGTCAGTACTTTGGTCAAACCAATATTTGGAATATCCAGATATATTATGTTATATAGGGAAAATACCCATGTTAACTTAAAACTTCTTATTCATCATTATGGACTACTTTCATGTACAATCACTGATTTCAGTTTGGAGTGGTCACGACTCAGACATGACCATCAGGATTTCATTTGACTTCCTGTTCACTTTATGTGTACAGGTAAGTCCATTATGTTAGCAGCTAGAGTCATACAAAAGGTAGCTGTCCTGGGGGTCAGGTGATCACCCGATGTGAGTGTGTAATCTAATAACATCTGGTTACTATCCTGAGCAGAAGTTATTTTGAAGAAAGCCATTCCAAATAGCTCAAGTACTATAATTTATTAAAGGAAACCGGATATTGGAGTAAATTGTCAAATGTTTTTTGATGATGAGATGGGTCAGACTTTGCACCCAAGTTGTTATTGGTTCTTCAATTTTATAAATATTCATATCTTTAAAAAATGAAGTTCCCACTGATATTCTCTGTGTCTGATAGGAAATACATAACTAACTTCATCTTGTTTCCTTAGGGCATTGTCAGAATAAATTCCGACAATGGACTTAACCACATAGAATACTGAGTGACACTCTGCTGTGCTCTCATTCTTCCTGTTGAACAAAGATGTAAGGCAGTGTTTCAACCCAGTTAAGAACCTTTAAAAGTGGTTGATTTGGACCATGATCTAGATTATAGGCTCTGCTTAAAAAATAAATTCAACAGTGTAGAGTCACAAAAGGAAATGCCTTCAGCTTTTAAGGAAGTCCCCAGGCCTCTCCAGGAGAGGCTGCCCGGAGCCTGGGGCTGCAGACTGGCCTTCCTCAGGGAGCACCGTGGGGCTTCACAGGCCTTTCCCAGAGGGGCATCAAGTCCTCCCTTGGGGGTGGGGGTGCAACCCTGGGGTCACAGTGTGTTCTGGGTAGCCTGAGGGATTACCTGCTGGAGCCTCCCTGGACAAACTGGATGGAATCCTTACCTTCTCCTGCAGGCCAGAGAGGAAGGAGCCTCTGCCTAGGTGAATGAAGGAGGACTCACACAGGGCTCGGCACAGAGGTGAGGGGTCCTTAGATCAGTTTGAAGCCAGAATTAGGCAGCCAGTCAGTATTGACTGATAGATGAGTCGGGTCAGATGGAATCAGGGCAAGTTGGAGACTCCTGAGGGACTGAAATGTTAATTCCTCAGAGCCTTCCCCACCCTTATCAAGAACCTGCCCTGCTCCTACCTGTTGCTAAGGTCACCTGTCCCAGGAGTTACCCCTCCCTACAGGGAGCTGTGAAGTTGTAATTAATGTGTCCTGGGACACCATCCTGCCCTTCCCCTTCAGCCCACTGTTTGCCACCTTTGGGCCATCCCACCAAGCATTCCTGGGCCTAGTCACTTGGGCAGAAAGGAGAAAGATAAGGGGGAAAAGGCCGGAGAACAAAGGAAGTCTAGGTCATATAAAAGGCAGAACACTTCCCTTCTTGGGATCAGGATACCAGCTATGGCCCCTTCTCCCTCGCAGGGAGCAGTCTATGTTACCCCTTTTAAAATAAACCTGCTTCATCTGCTTGCCTGGGTGTGCTTCTCTAATGTCTACTTCAACATGTGGGGAGCAGGACGCGTCACCAGTGACCAGTAGGTTATTGTCCATTATGGTCTAATGTATTTTGGAAATTAAACACATGATTGTTAGAATATCACACATTTTCTAGCGTCCAGGACCATGTTTCCATTGGGTTTTATCCATGCCTGGGTTACTTTGTATTTGGGTCAAAGGTCAGTTTTTGGTGATTTTATGAACCATCAACCTCTTGTCCAGGACCCCTTTCATTCTTTATTACCGGCACCCATCCTTTATAGGTTTTTTCCATCTATTACAGGGAATATGGCAGAGAAGATCCTTTCTCCAACCAACTTCACCTCAGCAATTTATCCCTGGCCAGAATGGAAAATACTGGTGAATATTGAGTCATCTGTCTGTACAATGGAAACAGTAAAGAACCTGATTTACCTTGAAGAACTGACATTTTTACATTCTTAAAGAGCACTTTCAAATTAAATATCAATGAAAGATTACTATAATTATAGGAAATCTTTTGTCTCAAGCTTCTAACTAGCAAATATCAGCAGAAGATAAAGCATGTGTCCCCAAATCCTGGAGTACATCTGTGAGATGTAAATATTTTAGGAGTTTTATTATAATTTTGTTATCTGCTTGCTTTGGTTGATCAGGTTTTATCCTCAATAATTTTCACTATGGAATTGTGATAGTTTGGAGGGTGCCACTCCGAATGATTCGCATCTTCCATCCTGGAGCGGGAGGCTTTGACCAGTAACTACATTTTGTGGTGACCTGGATGACATCCTGGTCCAGGAGCTTGAGGGTATGTCTTCAGGTGTAGGCGTGTCACCGTGGGGTTGAGCTACACTCACCTATTCCTTTGTAATACTACCCCTTTTCACTGTTTGGGATAGAATGTTCCATGGAAACTCTCTGTGTGTCCCCTTCTCTTGTCTGCCTTTGGGTGTGGCCTTCCTAGAGGGCAGTCAACCTGCTGACAGCACATAACATGAAGCTAGACTCAATCCCCGAAACCTTGCCTCCTTGGAATGGCTTCTCAATCCAAGGAGCCATCACAGGACCCTAAAGAAAAAGGTCTCTCTGTCTCTTGTCTGATGATTTCGTGCAGTCCAGTTCCCCTGGAGTGACCCTGAGTGTTTTAGTCATGCTGAAGGTTGATTCAGTAGGAAGTCAGGCAAAATTACAGCACAGCCACAGTGACCTTCAAGTTCTCGGAGTAGTGGTAAGTTATGGTTCTACCCGTGCCCCCAGAAGTCTGCATTCGCTTCCCAAGTACCCACTGAATGTTGGCTCCCTGATAGGCGTAAACCAGGACAGCCATTGCCAGAGGTTCCTATTTGTGGTGCAAAGAAAACCAGGCAAAGTCTCTAGCAAAGCCAAAGGTGTTAGGGAGTCAAAGAAAGCCTTTGGTACCTTCCTGCAGGGACTGGTTGCTGCACCCAGGCTGACTTTGTGGCCTCAGCCACCGCTTATTCAGACTTCTGCAGAGTAGGCACGGTGCACAAGGGACCTGGCCGAGGGTTGCTCTTCCTCTGCTGCCAATTTGCTCTTTGGGGGCCTACTAGCTCAACCCAGATGTGGTGGGGGTGGGGTTGGACACAGCCTCTGGGACCTCTGAGGTATTAGCACAGCAGGGTCCCATTGCCCATGACACTGCAGCTTAAATAGTGGCCTTTTTGTTGTTCAGATGGTCAAACGTGGCTCTTTATAATTCCTCTGTTGACCTCATTTGTGGAGGAGCCACAGGGAGGACTGGCTGGGTGCAGCAGGGTTCCGGAGCCTGGCCGCTGGGCTGGAATCCCTGTTCTGTTGCCTGCCCGCCACCGGAGGACCTGCCTGGGCGAGTGCCCCAGTTCCTGGGCTTTGTTCCCGTGGTTGTAGAAAGGAGGTAATGTGCTGGTACCAACCTCACAGAAGTGTCGTGAGGATGAGATGGTGTGGCCTACATAAAGCCTGTCCTGAGCCACCCTGATGACCCCAGCCATTCTGTGCTGTGACAGTGGCAACCCCAGAAGTCCAGTGGGAAGCTGGGTGCTGAGCTGTCCAAAACTGTGTCAGGGCTGTCCCTTCCACTGCCGATCCTTCACTTAGCTCGTATGTGCCCAGAAGTGGGTTCCACCTTACCCTGGAGCTCAGGATGCTTTGCTTTAGGTTTTTGGTATGGTGATCTCATGAGCATGTGACACAAAGCAGACCTTGTGAAATCGGCTACATCTCTAAACAATGTGTCCCCCTCTTCTCATGTGCTAATATCGTTATTCTTTTTGTGTTTGGATCTCGTCCCCTCCTCTGTTTCTAGCAGTTGAAATAAATAAAGGGTGTGAGATCAGAACAAATGCCGGGCACGCGTTCCTGATGTCATTGGATGCGCAGTCCTGACTGTGTCTCCCTACTGACCCTATCCCTGCACCCTCTCTTTCTAGGTGGTTTCTGACTTTATTGTGTCACTTTGTTTCTTGGTGTATTTGACAACTGTCAGCTGTGGTCTGCAGGAAGTTGGCACTGGAGCTTGAACTACACGCAGCCTTAAGGCATCGGGTACAGAAAGGCCCTGCTGGGGGCTGGGACATCTGGAGCTGTGGCTAGTTCCGCATGTGACATGTCACTCATCTCTGGACCCCTGAGCTTCTGAGATGTGCAGCTCCCACAGTCTCGTTCCCACAGGTGGTCCCCTGGTGATCCCCTGCCCTGGGCCTCATGCCTGGGGCTGTCTTCTGCCACCCTGCCATCTGTGGCCTTAGCCAGGCCACCTGGTGGTTTCTTCCTGTCCCCATCACTTCCTCTCTGTCTTCACCACCCCCATAGCCCCCTTCCACTAAGTGGGCGAGTGCCACCTACAGCTCCCCCTGCTGCTCTCCAGCATGAGCCACCTCACACCCACCTTAGCCAGCTTTCCAGTCCCCCAGGGCTGTAGAACCCTGGGCAGGGGACAGGTGCTGCCTATGCAAAATGCATGCCAGATTTTGAAAAGTAAGAACAATCAATGTTAAATACTCTATTGATCTTTATATTCAGTAGGTACAATACATTAAAATACATTAAAATTATTTTTACCTATTTTACTTTTTCAAAGTGGTAATTAGAAGAGAATTTAATATTGGTTATGCGCTTGCCATTGTATTTCTGTTGGACAGACACAGCATACAAGATAACTTAGGGGCAGAGACTTTAGTCCCAATTTTTAATTCCCCAAACTGGCAATTCTCAGCACATATTAAACACTTAAACAGCGTTTAATAGATACAGATTTTACAAATGGATACTCAAATCTACAAATAGATAATAAATATGAATTTGGGACAGGACAGTTCACATTTAGCTTAATCAGAGTTATGTCAGATTAAATATCATATAAAGGTTTTTGTATAGTCCACAGTCAGTAGATTATTTTTAAAGTGGCACAATCAAGAAACATTTTAGTAAGTTTCAAAAAGTTACAAAGGTGATTCCATAGTGTGCTATGATTGCTAGTTAAATATATTGCTGTTTTCCCTTGATCTCTTTTCCAGGTATGAGTGGAGTCAGTAAAATCTTCAAGGAATTGAAAACCCTTCTTCTGTACTGTATGTTAGTGAATGTAATTAGTTAATGTTACATGCCACTGGTTCCAAATAGTGATCATTGAAACTGTTGCTCTTGCATGTTTATAATAAGGAACTAAAATCTTGTTAATTCTTTCTTCTCCTTTCATTTTTCTCAAAGGAAATCCCTTGGGATGGATTGCTCTGGCCTCAGAACCACTGAGGGTGGTTGCTGACAGGGTGCAGGGTGCTGGCAGTGAGAGAATGGGGTGCCTGACCTTGTTGCAGCTGGAATTTACAAGGACCTAAGAAAAGACGACTCCCCCAGTTGTCGTTAAAAACACTCTCGTAATCTAGTAAATAATTTGGCCCTTTAGGTTAAGCGTAATACCTACCTAGAAAATACATTTCTAAATGGTTCATTGAAGAGGTAAAATTGTGAACAGAGGGAAGAACCAAGAACCAATCCAAGTCAGCAGGAGGCTGCACCAAGCTCTCACCAAGGTGAGCTGGTGGGTGCCGAGAGACAGAAGGATGACCAGGTGTCTGCCAGTGTGAACAGCTATAACCAAATACTGACTTTATTGTAAGGAGTCTTTAATTTACACACACACACACACACACACACACAGTATATACTCCAGTTTCATAGACATGAAATTGCATGATGCATGTGTTCTATAGCACAGGGTCTGCTGAATCGCCTCTCTCCATATTTAATGTGGAGGGCAGCCATCAGGCCACCCTTCCTTAAAAGGCCCTCCATGAATTAGTGGGCGCTGACCTCCCCCTCCACCCAGCGGCCCAGCAAGGTCTCAACCAGCCTCCTGAAGCCTCAGTTAATTTGAAGACTGCTGACTTTGATCATATTGGCACATTCTGTATGGTCCTTGGTATCAGTTTATGCCTAGTTACCATCTCTCTTAACAGAAATTTGTTCTTATAAAAACATCCTCTGAACTGGATGCAGCTCAGTGGTGGAGCACTTGCTTAGTGTGAGCAATCCTAGCACCACCAAAGAAAAGAGCGAGCTGTTACGCTAACAGGCATGCTCATGCCAGGTGTGGCCGTCTCTGATGGACTAGGCAGTTCTGACCTTGGATCAATCGTTTTTTTCAGTTGATAAAGTTCTTAAAGGCTCAGCCATACCCAAAGTCAAGTAAGCGCTCCGGGATTCAGAATCCTGTCATTTATTGAGGTAGCATACACGTTTTCACAATGACTGAAGTAGATGAGTCCCCAAACATCTGACGATGAATGTTTATTACTTCTGAAATCTCATCCTCTGAAAGTGCCACCTGCCACTGCTCCCGAGAGCCGGCGGTGCTGGGGCGGGAGGCCTGGCTCCCCGTCTTCTCAGGTGGGGACAGGGTGGAGTGTTGAAAAAACAGGGAGTGTTGTAGAAACACAGGGAGGCTGTGCCAGTGGACAGATGCCAGGTCCTCCCATGTCATGGGAAAGCCAGGTGTGCCTTCTTATCACCAGCTTCATGACCCGAAGGCAGCCCTGCCCACGGCTGAGGGTCTCAGGATATGGGAGTTGGGGGTGCAGTGCGTGAGCCTGTGGAGCTGCTTTGCAGAGAGGCTGGGGTGGAACTGAGCTGTTTGACACACCAGCAAACGACCAGCTAGGTGGAGGTCGGTGGAACAGGTGACAAGTGGGTGGTCAGCAGTGGCCTGCCTGCCCCGAGAGGCGAGGAGGTGAGGGGTGCTTCCTTCTCCCAAGAGAGCTCCTAGGAGCCCCTGCCTGCAGCACAGGAGAGGTGAGTGTGGGCTTCTAGGAAAGGCAATGGCTGATGTGGGGGCATTGAAGGAAACAGAGACGCACCCCTCCAGCCTTGGGAGAGAAAGCAGACCTGCCTAGACCTTCCTTGGGTTTCCCTCTTGAGGCCTGGGGGCTGGAGGTGCTTGGTGTCAGGGGCAGGGTTGGGCACTTGGGGCTCCCACCCAGGTAGGCTGGGCCATCAGCCCTGCCCTCCTCAGGCCTCTGGGCAGCTTGGCCACAGGGCTGCGCGGCCTCCCTCTGCTCCCTCTGCTCTGGAGAGGCAGCTCACTCCATGGGTCAGGAGGGGACTGAGGCCTCGATGCCCATCTGACCCTGGAGCCCACGCTTCCCCTGCTGCTGCTGTGGCCCAGGACTCTTGAGGTCACGTCCAGTGCAGCGCCAGCTCCGACGGCTCAGTTCCAAGAGCCGCCGAGAGGCCTGCAGATAAGGAAGCTGCTGGTGTTTACTCCAGAGACAACACTCAAGAGAAGAAAGCCCTGGTCACTGGGGTCCAAGACCACCTCGGGCTTTCCCAAGACGCCACGTGGCTGGTGGACAGTCCACCTTGGAGGTAAGGGGGGGTCCCTGGGGAGCCGGAAAAGGAGAGTGAGCTGGAAGCCTGTGAGTTAGCCCCTGGGCCAGTGGTGCTCTGCCACCCCCTGGTGGCCATTCAAGGAGGGACTTCCACAGCCTCTGCCTCCACCTGCCGTCCAGGGCCCCACCAGAGCGCCCTGAGCAGCCTGTGCACACCTAAGCCCCTGGGCTCCACTGGACCAAGCCACGTCAGCAGGAGACTGCTCCAAGGCCAGCCAGGGGTTCCACATCAGCGTCCTCATCTCTTCGGGGGGAAACTGAGGTTCAGAGAATCAGAACGTGTGTCTCCCCACATGTGGGGTGACTGCTAAGGGCCCTTCTCCAGCCACAGAGCTCTCCTCCTCCACCCCACCCGGCTGGCGAGGCTTGGTGCCCACGCTTGGAGGTCAGAGGCGAGAGGTCAAATGCCAGGCTTTGAGAGCTGGCAGGGACTCTCCGGGAGGGCTGTGCCATCAGGGTGCAGGGACACTGGTCAACACAGTGCATGTGTGCCTCACAGGGGTGGGCCACAGAAGCCCCCTCCCATCCTGATTCCCTTCTTCAGTTTCTTTTTCCTCTCAAGGGTGTTCAGAGAAAGCAGAGTGACCTGGGACCATGGTGCTGAATTCTCCACCCCCAGCTCCCAGCCTCTCCTTGATTCTCATGAGGGACGAGGAATTGGCAGGTGCTGGGCATCTCCCTGAATAACAGGGGATCAGTGCTTCCGAGTTTGTCCTGCAGCCACTGGGGCCTGAGTACAGGGCACAATTAGTCCTGCAGGCTGGGATGGGGAGCAGCCTCCTGCCTCCCCAGAGCCAGGCCCAGGCCCTGGCACTGTCTCTGCCCCACTCAGTGGGAGCATCAGTTCAGCCTTCAGCTCACAGGCCCGCTGTGTGACCAGCCCAGGAAATGACCAGAGACCTCCAGAGTCGCACTGGGGGTTACGGATTCAGGTTTCTGGGGAGGAATGGGCTGTTGGGGGAAGAGGGCAGTTCCCAGTCTAGCCTTGAGCAGTTCCCAGTCCAGCCTTGAGCTAGGCCGGTGCCCGTGAGCTGCGTCACCTCCTGACTGTGCAAAGAAGGCGTCGTCCTTCCCACCCTACAGACAAGAAAACCATGTCTCAGGCAGGTGAAGACGTGTCCGGGGACCTCTGAGCGGGAGAAGAGCCACAGCGTGGGCCTAGGTATTTCTCAACTGGCGGCAGCGGGTGGGCAGGGGCTTGAGGTAGGAGGAGGTGCTGTGGGAGGCGGTGAGAATCCAGGCAGGGTGCGAAGGCCGCCTGGAGAACGGGGACAGAAAGCAGAGGGAAGTGGCTCAGGGCCTGGCCTTCCCCTGCTGCGGGTGCCGTGCTTGGTGGACATCGTCCCATCGTCCTATCAGTCCTTATGAGACCTGAGGGGTAGAAATCTGTCCTAGTTGGCAGCCGAGGGACACGAAACTCACAGATTGAACAATTCATCCAAAGTCACCGAGAGAAGAAGGGGCCAAGCCAGGTGCAAACCGACCTGCTGATGCCCACCATGCAGCTTCCAGGCCAGGCACTGACAGCCACCGCTGGGTGTGGACTGGCCTTGACCTCGGCTCCTCCTGGCAAGGGCGTCACTGCACTGGGCCTGTGGCCCTCACCATGCAGCGGGGCCTGGACACGAACCATCTGCGGCAGGTGGAAAACAGGGATGCCCCCCCATCACGGCAAGGCTGCGGCTGGACCCTGGGCAGCCCTGACAAAGGGCCTGTCTCCTCCATGCCACACGTGGCTCTCCTCCTCCTTGATCACCAAGAATCTTCCTCCAGGGGAAAGTGAGGGGACAAGCATGAGATCCTCGTCACCTCACGGAAAGGCCCAGTCGTATGGATCACATGATCTCAGCGTTTCTCAGCGGAGCTTTCCTTCCACTGGGAGAACCCGCTGGGGCAGGCCCCAGGACACAGGGAAACCTGGCTCTGTCTTGTCTGCAGGGTGACTTCAGGACTGGGGAACGGCAAGGAGATCCTGATTCCCTCCAGGGGGTAGCAGGGGGCCTGGCTTGTTGGAGGAATGAAGCAGGGGAGAAGATCTGAGAGCGGCTGCAGGGGGTGCCAAGCCTTGCCCCAGAGGGGAGGTTTGCAGAAGCCCAGGGCTCTGGCCCCACCTCACACTGAAACTCTGTTCCCGTCCTGGATCAGCGCAGCCTTTCATTGATCTTCCTGCCCTCAAAATGTCTGTCAACAAGGTCAACCTCTTTCCCAGGCCTGAAGCTGGGAGAGCCGAAACAAACCTGCCACACCTGTTGTCCGGGTGCTCGTACTTGGTTTTGAAATCGTGGAGATTAAGGGATGAGCTGCATCTCCCCAGGTTTATCTATTTTTTAATTTTAGTTATGAATTTTTCTGGTGCTGGGAATTGAACCCAGAGCAGGCTGAGCAAGCACCCTCCCCCTGAGCCCCACCCTCCACCCTTCCCCCAAATGCCTCAACTTGAGTGTCTCAAAATGTGACCACACAGAGACGAGGGTTTGTAGAGGAGATCAGGTGAAATTAGGGCCTTAGGGTGGCCCAGTCCAGCAGCCTGGGGTCCTTGTGAGAAGAAGGACTCCAGACTCAGACATGCACAGAGATGTCCATTTGAGGCACAAGCAGGTGGACACCCACAAGCCAAGGAGAGGGGCTCAGGAGGAAGCAGCCCGGCTGACCCCTTGATCCAGACTCCACCCCCAGAACCTCGGGAAACAGATTTCTGTTGTCTGAGCCCTGGTTTGTGCCTGTGGGCAGCTGAAGAAACCCCAAACTGGGTGTGAGGACTTCCATCGCAGTGCAGGGCTATCCCCACTGCCTGTCCTGCCGCTGGGCCCTGCTGAGCCCTGGTGAGAGCCCTCGTGTTTCTGCCCTCTGTGCCCCCTCCATGCCTGGGTTTAGGCCCAGCTCAGGATCCCTTTCCACGTGGCCAACTATAGACTGAGCCTGTGGCAGGCAGACTTGAAGGGAGGCAGCCTGGACCCTTTTAATTCTCTTGCCCCTCAGCACTGCCAGAATCTATATGCGTCTCTCCCCTGACATTCTAAATGCAGTTCAGTATTCGTCTGTCTGTCTAGAGAAACCCTAAAATCTATTCCAGCAGACAGTCACTCTGCAGATTCGGCTGACCTCAGAGGATGCCGAGAAGGGCTGAGTTAAGTGCTACCTTGAATGATTGATTTATTGGGTACATTTGTCTGACGATTAAGAAAGAAGATGCTACCTAAACTCTTGGGCAGCATCCCTTTAACTGTAATGCACCTCCCCTTGGCAAAATCCTACTCATCTCTCAAAACCCACCTCTAGGGTAGTCTCTTCTGAAGGTTTCCTTGTCCCTAGAGCTGGTTGAACAGTCCCTTCCTTAAAATGATCAGTCCTTGTAAACCTCAGTAATGGGAGTCTGAGGACTGAGTGTTGTGTCCCCCGACTTTGGGGGGTTGAAGGCCTCACCCCAGTTCAAGTTTTATGGAGGTGGTGCTCCTGGAGGAGGTTAAGGCTCGGTGAGATCACAAAGGCGGGGCTCTCACCGTGGGATTAGTGCCCTTCTGAGAAGAGGAAGGGACTCCAGAGCTTTCTGTGTCCTGCCCTGCTTGCAGGGATGGGGCCACTTGTGGAATCCACCCACCGTGGCCCTGGACATCCAGAGCTATCAGAGACTCATCTCTGTGTGGCAGCCGCCTGGTCCGCAGCCCTTCATGAGCGCCATCCAGGGTGACTGGGACACGGCCCTGTGCTTCCCCCACGGAGCTCCTGGAGGAAGGAGGCTTCTGTCTGCATGTGGGAGCGTGGCTCCCAGGAGGGTTCCCCCTGGCACAGGTTGGGTAGCGGAGCCACTGGGAGGCGTGGGACCAAGTGCGAGGGCTGGAGCAGCTGGAAGGCTCGAGGCTGTGGTGCCTTGGCCTCCGAATGCTCTCCACGAAGGAGACTGGGAGGCCCAGAAGAGAGGTCTTTCTGATCTCCCCTTTCCCATCTCTGTCCACTCTCCTCCCAAACGGAGTCAGGGAAGCCAGAGTTCCTTTCCCCAAGGTGAGTAGAGAAACCAGGAAGGTCACTCCACCTTCTCCCTCAAAGCCCCGTGCCACAGGGTCCTGCCATGGCTGGTGAGGTCAGGTGCAAGGAAGGCTGAGCCGGTGGCCACCAAGACTCAGTCAGAGAGGCCTGTGGGTCCCCCTGCATTCCACCAGCCAGACTCCGCGTCCAGGCACCTTCTTCATCAAAACGGACCACTTTCCGTGGGTCTTTGGATCTCCATTTCTGAAGTCTCCCGTGTCATGAAAACCTTTGATTAAGTAACTGTGGGACCTGTCTTGTGTTGCAGGAAGGTTGGCCTTGACCTTCATGCCGGTGAGAGTCCCTCACACCAATGCCCCTGCAGCAGCCGCCCGAACCTGGGTCTTAGGTTTCAGCTCATTTTCCTTCAGAGACAGGAGAAAGGCCAGGTGAGCCCTCAGCCTGTGTTTTAGGGGGTGACGCCAGCGTCCACCCCGTGTTTGACAAGAAGATGACGGTTCCCCCGAGTGGAGACACTTGAGTTTGAGGGAAGCGGGGCTTGCTGTCTTCATTCTCATTCCCAGGTCTTCCCACCAGCATCCTGAGGATGACAGTCACAGGCCTGCTCCTGGCCAGCTCCTGCAACAGCCCCGGGCCAGCCCCTCAGCCTGGGATACCCCAAGTCAAAAGTCACAGCCACATGCCCGGAAAATCAGCTTCCACAGGACAGGGACGAGGTGACAGGAGGTGGCCCGTCCGCTGAACCCGCCTGCGGTGCTGAGGGATTTACGACCGGCCTCATAAACACTGCGCCCGCGCCAACCGGGCGGCTGTCTCCAGGCCTGTCCGGTGGGAAAAGGCCTTTGTGGACGCAGAGGCCGTAAACAGCCCCGGCTTCCTGCGGGGGAGGGAGCAGCCCGAAAAGCCACCCTGGTGGAAAACAGAGACCAGCCCGCTTCCGACCTGGGCCCTGGACAGCAAGTGGCCAAGTGTGAAGCAGGGAGCATCCCTGGGGCCCTCCGGCGGCTCAGGTGAAGGGCTTCCACTGGGGGTGCATCTCAGGGAGGCCTGGCCCCGCTAGACTGGCTTCCCGATTCCGTCAGTTTCTGGCCCCTTTCTCTTGCTCCTTTTGAAATTCTCTTCTAGATTTGACTCCTTCTAACTTCTGCCCTCTAAGGTGTCTCCAGCTCAAGGGGCACAGGACCCCTTCCCAGACCGGGGACGTGGCACCACCTAGTGGCCAGGGAGAAGCTGCCAGTTCTGATGCTGAGCAGGTCAAAGTTGTTCAAAGACCAGGTTTTGTTTTCTGTACTGGACCTTGAGCCCAGTACACATGCTAGGCAAGAGCTCTGCCACCAAGCCACACCCAGCCCAAGGAGTGAGTTTAAACACAAATGGAAAGCACAACACAGAGCTGCAGAGACGACAGACGGTG